ACCTCAGGTGATCCACCTGCCTTGGCCTCCCAAAGTTCTGGGATTACGAGCGTGAGCAATGGCACCCAGCACAGGCACATTACATTTATTGTGCACTTTATTTTTATTATTATTACATTGTAATATATAATAATTATGCACCTCACCATAAAGTAGAATCAGTGGGAGCCCGGAGCTTGTTTTCTTGCAACTAGACGGTCCCATCTGGGGATGATGGGAGATAGTGACAGATGCACACTGCAGGGGAAGTGCATTAGATCATCAGGCATCAGATTCTCATAAGGAGCATGCAGCCTAGACCTCTCACACGTTCAGTTCACAATAAGGATGGTGCTCCTATGAGAATCTAATGCCACCATTGATCTGACCGCAGGCAAAACTCAGGCAGTAATGCGAGTGATGGAGAACAGTAAATACAGATGAAGCTTCGCTTGCTTGCTCACTGCTTCTACTGCTGTGTGGCCCAGTTCCTCACTAGGCCATGGACCTAGTTCATGGCCCACAGGGTTGGGGACCCCTGATCTAATGTAACAACTCTGGAAATCAGATTCTATACCCACTATTTGTTGTTGCTGTTGTTGCTGCTGTTTGTTATTGTTGTTCAGTGTTTAATGAGCTTTCTGAAATAATTTTGTAGTCTGGGGCTACTCTTCAATACTCAGCCAGGCAGTTTATATCTCTGCCTTAGCCTTCACTTCCTGCTTGCCCAGAGCCTCAAGGTCAGTCAGAGGTGAGAGCTTTGAGCCTTCCCAGGTCTTTACTGAACATGTACGCAGCCCTACACTTGGGAGTAGCCTCACAGATTCCCAGGAATCATTCAGTTGGAATTTTCAAAGCCCTTATGGACATCTCATTCTCCTGCTTTTCTTTTAAAGCTTTTTGGTTAGCCTATTGTCTGCCCAAAATGTTATGTACAACCTCATACAGGCACCAACTTGAATAACGGCCTTTAAATGTTTTTGACAAATACCCTAAGGAAAAAACGTTTGCATTAAGTGAGCTCTTAGGACAAATAAAGACATCCTGGCAGTGGGATGTTTCTGAAAACCACCAGCCAAGTCAAATGACAGTTCTCTGGGAATGAGGCTTTGAAGGAAATCGAGCCCTGTTCTGTCTTTCCAGTGGCTGCCGGGCTATTGGTCCTCACTGTAATTATGGGCTGTTAATTTGCAAGGCTGCAGTGGAGCCAGTGAGGAGGGGATGAGAATAGAATAGGGCAAGTTAAAAATACCATATGACTTGCTGTACTTAATGAGATTTTTCAATTTGTTTATTTGTGTGTATATATACACATACATATATATACATATACATACACCCACACCCCCACACCTCCCCCCACCCACACACATAGTGAATGGAAAATAAATCTTGGGGCCCCAAAATCACTAAGCTAAAGGGAAAAGTCAAGCTGGGACCTGCTTAGGGCAAACCTGCCTCCCATTCTATTCAAAGTCATCCCTCTGTTCACTGAGATAAATGCATATCTGATTGCCTCCTTTGCAAAGGCTAATCAGAAACTCAGAAGAATGCAACCATTTGTCTCTCACCTACCTGTGACCTGGAAGCCTTCTGGCTGCTTGAGCTGTCTGACCTTTCTTGACAGAACCAATGTATATCTTATATATATAGATTGATGTCTCATGTCTCCTTAAAATGTATAAAACCAAGCTGTGCCCTGACTACCTTGGGCACGTGTCATCAGGACCTCCTGAGGCTGTGTCACAGGTGTGCATCCTCAATCTTGGCAAAATAAGCTTTCCAAATTAAACAAGACCGTTCTCAGATATTCAGTGCTCACATTTTGGCAACCATAAAGGGATTCTGGGTAGGGGCGCTCCTGACCTTTGACAAATCTCCTATCCGTGCTCGGTACCAGCTTGAACTATCTTTATGGCTCAAACCAATAGGACAATTTGCTGAGGCCTGGAGGCACCCCCTCCAATCACTGATCTTCCAAAATTTGATCAAGATCTAAAGTTTATTTTGCTGTACAACTCCTTTTGTTGGAGTTTTACTAGCTTCCAACACAAGAAAGGCAAGTTTTTCCTGCTTTGATGACGATGAAATGCAGATAACTCCTTTATGGAGTTTGACCTTGCTTCCAATGGGGAAGACAAATTTGAGTTTTTTCCTGCTTCTAGGATGGTGGACAGCAGCCTTCAGCCTGAGACCCATTCTTTACCTAAGGATGGGTAACTGAATTGGGGTTCGTCTTGGCTAAAGTTAACAACCAGTTGGTTGTAATTTCTCTTTACCATTAGAGCACTCAGTAGTTGGATAAGTTGTACCATCTTTGTTTTGCTTAATTGTTTTTGTTGTTGTTTGTTTGTTTCTGTTTTTGTTGTTGTTTCAGTCTTTTTCCCATTGGGATTGATCAGCTCTATCCGACTTGATCAAATCCAAAGGAAACTTCCAAATTATGGGTAACAAAACCTCTGAAGTGGCTAATTTGCCACAGTGTGGTGGGGGAGAAAAACGGCCAACAAAAGGAAAAAAAAAAGAAAAAAAAGTAGGAAAGATTTTTTATTTTGATTACTTAAGGGGACTTATTTACATAACAAGGCCACCTTTTTGCTAGCCAGGCCAAACTGAAAGGGCAATGGCTGTCACCCCACACTGCAGTTCCATAGCTAAGGGCTCTGGCTTCTTTTTTACCACCACGACTGCTTTGGTGTTGTTCCTAAATCAAGCTAATTCTGGTTTGATACTTGGCACTTCTGAAATAGCAGCAATTTATTCTAGCTGAATTATGGTAATGAGATTTAAAAAGGTTTTTTAAAGGGAGCTCAATGATTAAAAGTCAGCTTAACTAAAAGCTAACATCCAAGATGTGTGCGTGTGTGTGTGTTTGTGCATGTGTGTATGTGTGTGTGTTCATGTGTATTTGTGCGTGTGTGTATGTGTGTTTGTGCATGTGTGTTTGTGCATGTGTGTATGTGTGTGTTCATGTGTATTTGGGCGTGTGTGTATGTGTGTGCATGTGTGTGTATGCATGTGGATGTGTTTATGTGTGTGTGCATGTGTGTGTGTGTGCATGTGTGTGTGTTTGTGCATGTGTGTGTGTGTTTGTGCATGTGTGTGTGTGTGTGTATATGTGTGTGTTTGTATTGAAAAGGCCTTCACATTTTTTTTTTCTCCTAGGACCTTGTCTCTCTCTCTCTCTTTTTTTTTCTAGCTAAAGATTTTTTTTCTCAGTTGACTGAATTCTGTTTTTTTTTTTTTCATTTACTTCTGCTGTCTCTCTCTCTCTCGCACCCTCTGCTGCATAAGGGACCTAAAATATTATAGTTTATAATAGCCTGACTTTCCTTCAAGAAAGCAGAGAAGGCGCCAGATGCCGTTTTGGGGAGAAACCTGTTTTTCCTTATGAAACCCCAAGAGTATAAGCAGACAAGTTCATCTCAGCTCTTACGCTGCTTGCTTCTGTATTGTGTTACCTGACTTATTGACTAAAAGAGTTATTGCACCAAAGGCTTTTTTAAGGAAGAGTGTAGTTTAGACATTAGAAGTGTCTTCGTTTAAAAAAACTTTTTAAGTGCACTGTGAAAGCATCACATGGTCTAGCCTCATAATAATTCTCCCTTTTTGGAGACCCAGGATTCAGTGTGGGCTCTGCCCGGAGCTCAGAGACCTAGTCAAAAGATAGGTAGTTCCTATATAAATAAAACTGGTTTCCTCATATAATCCTATGACAGATTTCTCTCTTTTTTTTTTTCTGAGACAGAGTTTTCGCTCTTGTTGCCCAGGCTGGAGTGCAGTGGCGCGATCTCGGCTCACTACAACCTCCGCCTCCTGGGTTCAAGTGATTCTCCTGCCTTAGTCTCCTGAGCAGCTGGGACTTACAGGCGCCCACCACCACACCTGGCTACTTTTTGTATTTTTAGTAGAGACAGGTTTTCACCATATTGGGCAGGATGGTCTCGATCTCCTGACCTCATGATCCACCTGCCTCGGCCTCCCAAAGTGCTGGGATTACAGACATGAGCCACCGTGCCCAGCTATCCTATGATAGATTTCTGTAATTTTTGTTTGATTTGGCATACTTCTTTTTTTTTTTTTAGATGGAAACTCTCTCTGTCACCCAGCCTAGAGTGCAGTGACACAATCTCGGCTCAATGAAACCTCTGCCTCCCAGGTTCAAGTGATTCTCCCATCTCAGCCTCCCAAGTAGCCGGAATTACAGGCATGTGTGACCACACCTGGCTAATTTTTGTATTTTTAGTAGAAACGGGTTTTCACCATGTTGGCCAGGCTGGTCTCAAACTTCTGACCTCAGGTGATCCACCCACCTCGACCTCCCAAAGTGCTGGGATTACAGACCTGAGCCACTGCGCCTGGCTGGTCACGGGGAGGTCTCGTTTCTTTGGTGGAAGCCATTCCTGACTCCTCTCATGAACAGGTTTCATATTGCTTTGTGGTGTTCTTGGATCCTGGAAGGAGTCGGCTTGCTCCCTGGGGCATCAGGAGGGGCTTCTCTGTAGCTTCTCTGTACCCTTCTCTGCTTCTGGTGGGGGCACTCACATCTGAACTTCCAGTAGTGCTTCTGAGCAGCTGTAGTAAGTGTCCTCCCGGCTGGCTCAGGAGCCAGCCCTTTTCACAGTGCTTCTGGGATCCACCTGGTCGTCCTGGAGCCAGGGCAACCGAGGCTGCCGCCATCCCCCGCCCCGGAGCCGCCCCACACCCCTGTATATGCAATATTTGTTTACCAGTCCCTTTTGGTGTCCATCTAGGTACAGGTCTTAGTTTTTGAGCTAAAGTATCCATAATACACCGGAAGTGATAGATGTCACTTCCACATTGTATGCCAAACCTAATAATTTCAGAGCAAAACTTTTCATCCAAGTGATTTGGTTAACATTTTAGGATGTTTCTAATCTCTCAGTAATACAAATATGCTTCAATAAATCTCTGTGTTTATCCTTTGGGCTCCTGTGTGTACCTGTGCACACCTGGAGAATGAAGTCCTGTGAGAGGAACTGCCATCCAAAGAGGGTGTTTCAGTCTGTACTGCCACCAACAATGTGCTCGTGCTTCTGCGCTTGCGTTTGGATCAGGAGAATTTGAAAGTCATCAGGAAGCAAACCAGGATATAAGATCCAGCTGTAGCTGGAAAGTGGCAAACGTTCCAAAGCTAAGACATTGGCTATTCCTGGGCTGTTCACCAACTGTGAGGCCAAGTCTAGATGAGATCCAGAAATATGATGAACAACTCACTTCTTTTTTAAGCAAAACACACTTTCTTCTCATTTCTGCTAAGAACAAATAGCTTCCAGCAAGATTAATAGGGGATGCAATATTTTTACAAATTATTTCTTTTTTATTAAAAAAATTTTAAGTTAAATGCTACTTAAAGATATGTTTAACCTCTGTGATACTGACTTGCTCATGAGAAGAAAGAGAGAGGGCCAGGCATCTGCCCACTACTACCCACTATCAACACGTAGGCCTGACATCAGTCACTAAATATTCTGGGCCAAGTGCGGTGGCTCACGCCTCTAATCCCAGCACTTTGGGAGGCCAAGGCAGGTGGATCATGAGGTCAGGAGATCGAGACCATCCTGGCTAACATGGTGAAACCCCGTCTCTACTAAAAATACAAAAAATTAGCTGGGCATTGGCCGTGTAGTCCAGCTTACTCAGTAGGACTGAGGCAGGAGAATTTTTGAATCGCGGGAGCAGAGTTGCCAGTGAGGCCAAGACATGCCATCTGAATCCTGCCTGGGCCAACAGGAGTGAGACTCCGTCTCAAAAAAAAAAAAGGAGAGAAAGAAAAACAGCGGCTTCTAGGATGCTGAGCAGTGGACTCATGTCTTTCCTTAACCAGATTCTGTAACTGTCCAGCAGAAATGCTTATCTGATCTCTGTGAGAACAGGAAGCAGCTCAGTTGGGGACCTGCCTTGTTAAATTCTTCATCAAACTGCTTATCTGCCCTGAGTCCTGCAACAACATCTCAAGAAAAATCCCCAAAACATGCAAAACAAATGAGAGTCCTCCTTTACTGTGTTATTGAAGTACTGAGGTGCCTGAAAGCTATGTATAGTTTCTGGGGAAACAGTTTTTTAGGAAATGTAGCACAGACACTATTCATCCAGAAGAGCCCCTTCCTGACATGAAAGATCTTAGCGTGAGACAGAAGCATCTGATTAACCATGGGGACCTATCCAGCCAGCAGCAGGGGCCCCAATGCCAGTGTCCGCCTCAGCAGAGGAGACACGGGGGACATGCAAAGTGTTTCTGTTGAAAAATACTTCACCTAGGGTGACTATAGTTAGCAGCAATGTATTGTATATTTCAAAGCAGCTAGAAGGCTAGGTGCAGTATCCCATGCCTATAATCCCAGCATTTTTGGAGGCCCAGGCAGGCTGATTACTTGAGGTCAGGAGTTTGAGACCAGCCTGGATAGCTTGGTGAAACCCCGTCTCTACTAAAAATACAAAAACTAAAAAATAAAAAACTAGCCAGGTGTCGTGGCCTGCGCTTGTATTCCTAGCTACTCGGGAGACTGAGGCAGGAGAATTGCTTGAACCTGGGAGGCAGAGGTTGCAGTGAACAGAGATCACGCCACTGCCCTCCAGCCTGGGTGACAGAGCAAGACTCTGTCTCAAAACAAAAACAAAAACAAGAAAACAAAGTAGCTAAAAGAGGGGACTTGAAATGTACCCAACACATAGTAATACCAAATATTCAAGGTGATGGGCACCCCAAACACCAACTGATCACCACACATTCTGTGCATGTAATAAATACTCAAATGTACTCCATAAATACGTAAAATATTTTATAT